GAAAATGGAGGTTTTTATTTTTCATAAATCTGCTAAAATGTGTTGGCAAACTTGAACTAGTTCATAGGATGATATTACCAATTTTTGGTTTGATAGCCTGAGAAGAATTTACTATTTTCTTAGAAAATAGAAGTTGAATTTAGAAGATGAATGCTTTTTCTTACCTGCTTTTCTTACTCTTTTTTTTGACTAAAATTTTTGTTCCCTTTTTCTGTTTGTGGGAATCTGACCTGATTAAAGAAAACTTGACTGACCTTCTTTCAGTAGTAATCTTTCTTTCCTTTTCATGTGCTTTTCCAGTAGTAACTATACATTCTGTGCTGTGACTGTACATTATTGAGAGACCAATGTATATATACGTTAAAAAATAGAAGTAGCACTCTTTTCTCATTCTGCTATCTGATCATCTCAGATTTCCTTTTCTTACCATCACCCATAATATTCAGACTCTTTAGAAATTAAAAAGATAGAGATTCAGTATTCTCCCATACCTTGATATTATATTGAAAATATTATTTTTATATTTCTTTTATATGTACATAATATGTTTACACATATACATGTTTATATATGCATACATATATATTTACACAGGCTTTTCCTTCTATAAAAGTGTAAGTACATTTATATGCCTAAAATATTTTTATACCATTTAATATAATTCAATCGAATTACTTTTAGATTTATAGATTAAACAGAAGTGTAGATAACTTTCCCTTTCTCCTTTTTGTCACAAGGAAATACCAATTCTGACCTTGTTTTTGTATTTTAACATCTGTGAAATTTGGATACACATACAAGTAATGGCATGGTGTAATCTAATTGTATAACTTTTTTTTTTTCTCAGTAATATAAATACTTTTTACCATGATGCATCTTCTATCATTGGTGAATTGATGTTAAGGATGCATTCAAAGAGAGTGAATAAAATTGTTTTGTTGAACGTGGGAGTAGAAGAAAATAGTATTTCTAAATTAATATTGTTTTGTCATATATTCCATTTTAAATATACATGTAGTAACCAAATGATTGTGTTTACTATTATATATTGTAAATTAGATATCTGACCGATTTACCTGTATCCTGAGTTTGTTTATTTAGGTTGACCCAAAATGGTTTTTTTTTGGACTATCTTATTGGAAAAATGGGCTTTATGATATTTTATGTTAGTATCACATGATATTCAGGCATCTATTGCATAGTATAACCTGAAAATGTAAACCTAGGTATTTAGTCTTTATTCCTGTAAATATTTTTCCTTAAATCTTGAATTAATACTGATTTGTTGTGTCTTCAAATATCTATGATACAGAAATTAAGCCATATGGAAGTTTGACATAAACTGCTGTATAATTCATGAGGAAAGTGTCTTCTTAGAGAAAAAGTTCTTACTTTTAAAATTATGGATGTGCATCTTCAGTCCATGAAGTAAAGTGTCAGAGAATATGCTCTTAATGTGGTTAGAGTAGAAGAGAGATGACTGGGGCTGCTGTTGGTGGCTCAGAGTAATTATATAATGTGTGTTCTTGCTTGAGGGAGAATGGTCTATGTTTAAAAAATGAAAATACTGAAAAGGAAAAGAAAGATGCCAGCATATTACAACTGAAGATGACTGGTTCTTTGTCTGATCCTGCTTGCTTCAGCTTGCTTTCTGGGGAAGCTGCTTGTTTCTTCTTTCTCCTTGATCAATATCATTGATTTCCTTCAAAAGGAGAGTAAGTTATAAAGCTTTATGTAGTCAGTTCTGTTAGGTTATCTTCCCAAAGTTTCTTGTGGGCACCACACCATATAATTTGTTCCTGTGGTCTTACAGGAATCTGTGTTTAATGGCTACTGTAATGTTTTACCTAAAAGTATAAATATTAGGATTACATATAATTTGATGTGCAGATTTTTTTCTCCCAAAGTTATTTCCCAGGAGTTATAGTTTGGCCGGATGTGGTTGCTCATGCCTGTAATCCTAACACTTTGGGAGGCCAAGGTGGGTGAACTGCTTGAGCCCAGGAGTTCAAGACTAGCTTGGGCACATGGTGAAACCTCGTCTCTACAAAAAATTCAAAAATTAGCCAGGTGTGGTGGTGCATGCTTGTCATCCCAGCTCTTTGGGAGGCTGAGGTGGGAGGATCACTTGAGTCTGGAAAGTAGAGTTTGCAGTGAGTTGAGATCGTGCCACTGTACTCTAGTCTAGGTGACAGTTGAAACCCTGTCCTCTCCCCCCCAAAAAAGAGTTATAATTTGATGCTCAAGTGAAATATGATTCCTGAGTAATAAAATAGGTAAAAATTAAATTAATAATTAAAGTTGCTTTCTGGAAGGAATACATTCAGTTTTTTCCCATGGATTTACCCATGTGTTATATAAAAGCTTCCTTACAAAGGAGATTCAATTAATGTCCCTGTTCATCTAAAATTATTTTGACTTCCTGTGTCATGACCAATAAAATTAAAAAAATCATTGGGAGCAATCATTTAGATTGTTTTTTCTGCCTTTGAACATTGTCTACATTTTACATTGTGTTATAGATGTATAACTATAAAACTCCATGGAGTTTTATAGATTCCTAAGGAAGCATCATAAAACATTTAAATTGTGCCCAGGTGAGATGTCAGCAGGCTTACATTCTTATTCTTTTTGAGACGTAGTTTCGCTCTGTCACCCAGGCTGGAGTGCTGTGGTACAGTCTCTGCTCACTGCAACCTCCACCTCCCAGGTACAAGCGATTCTCTTGCCTTAGCCTCCTGAGTAGCTGAGACTACAGGTGTGCACCACCATGCCCGGCTAATTTTTCTGTTTTTGGTAGAGACGGGGTTTCACAAAGCTGGCTAGGCTGGCCTTGAATCCTGATGTCAGGTGATCTGCGTGCCTCGACCTCCCAAAATGCTGGAATTACAGGTGTGAGCCACAGTGCCCGGCTGCTACATTCTTATTCTGGATCTGCCACTCACTCACTATGTGATTGTGAGCAAGTCATTTTGCTTCTGTTTTTCATCTCTTCATCTTATAACAAATCTTGTCCTTCTTTTTTTATTCTCACAATAGCTTTTTAGAACCTTTGTTTTAAGTACTGAATTATACTTTTGCAAGAAATAACTAAGTTTTAGAAAACATAAAAGTATAAATGGAAATGGTGTTTGCATTCAAGAAATAAATATTTTGTTTTGGATTTTTAAAGTAAAATTTAGACAGTGAAGATAATCCAGATGGTACTGGTCATTAGAAGTCCTATTTGGAGGATTATACTAATTTTAGTGAAACTGATTACTTTTTAAAAAGCAAAAAACTGCTTTTTGTTGTAAAAGGCAATCATGAACTGTAAGGGATACATGCTATGTAGGAATATTAAGCATGGCTGCTTTGCATCTCCTACTGCTAAGCAGCATTGGAAATGAATTGATGTAAACAGACCTGTGTATTCTTCTTCATTATTGCTTTTAGATTGTACCATTTGAGGATTTTGGAAGATCTGGAGTGAGAAATACTCGTTGTTATTAGGATAAAATTGTGTTTCAACATTTGAGAAAATTATTTCAAGTTATTCCAAGTAGATTAGAGTTCTATAGTGTATAGAAGCTGTGTTTTTCTGCTTTTGCTTTTGTTGATTAGCTTGGACCCTTTTAATGGAATGGGTTGGTTAAGGTATAGTCAGTTAAAAGGTGGGTGTCTATATAACTGTATAGAAGCTGTGTTTTTCTGCTTTTGCTTTTGTTGATTAGCTTGGACCCTTTTAATGGAATGGGTTGGTTAAGGTATAGTCAGTTAAAAGGTGGGTGTCTATATAACTAAGTGTGGCGATTCCTCAAGGATCTAGAAATGGAAATTCCATTTGACCCAGCAATCCTATTACTGGGTATATACCCAAGGGATTATAAATCATTCTATTATAAAGACATGCACACGTGTGTTCATTGCGGCACTAAACAATAGCATTGACCTGGAACCAACCCAAATACCCATGAAGGATAGACTGGATAAAGAAAATGTTGCACATCTACACCATGGCATATGCAGCCAGAGAAAAGGGTGAGTCCATGTCCTTTTCAGGGACATGGATGATTCTGGAAACCATCGTTCTCAGCAAACTGACAACAGGAACAGAAAACCAAACACTGCATGTTCTCCCTCATAAGTGGGTGTTGAACAATGAGAACACATGGCCACGGGGAGGAGAACATCACACACTGTGGTCTGTTGAGGACTGGGGGCCTAGAGGAGAGACAGTGGGGGCTGGGGAGATTGGGGAGGGATAACACTGGGAGAAATACCTGATATAGGTGATGGAGGGATGGAGACAGCAAACCACCATGGCATGTGTATACCTATGCAACAATCCTGCAAGATCTGTACATGTACCCCAGAACTTAAAGTACAATTAAAAAAATAATAAAAAAAAAATGACTGACAAGCTAAAGCCTATGATGCTGCAGCAGGAAACTGCTCACAACCCATGCCAAGTGCTGGGAAACTGCATCAGACAGTCTTTCCTGCCACAGAAACCCATAAAACCCGCTGAGCTGAAGCAGCCCTTTGCCTTGGTTATTAGCGTATTTCCTTATTATAGGTGCTTTAAATAAATCTTCAGTAGTTAAAAAAACAAAACAAAAAACTAAGTAGACTAAAATTGTGCAGTTACTTAATGCCAGTTCTAACTACTTAAATGAGAATGAGATGCCTATACTTCTCTATTTTTCTTAGTGTTGAAGAAATTGTTTTGTTTTTTTTTCCTGTCCCAGGAAATGGTAAATTTTAGACAAATTTTTTTTCTTTACAAACTTTCATTAAAGTACAGTGGTGTAATCTAATAAGAAATTTGTTGAGAGTTGAAAATCTGAAATAACTGTTTTTTTAGTGACTGTGCAGAATTTGTGACTCCTTCTCTTCCCTAATCCTGCATATTATGTTTGCCTATGTCCATGAATAATATTATTTCTGAATATTGTCCTTATTAATTCTTTCTAACTTTCTCTTTCACATTTTCTTCCTGGATTTGCTGTTTCCTTCAGTCTCACCTCAAGGTCAGTATGCTTGTATGAAAACAAAGATTATGCGATTGAGCATTGTTTGTGAACGTTACCTTGAATTCTTATCGGGAACTGAACTTATTCCAGGAGAGAGCTGTCTAGAAATCTAGGTGTGGCTATAAAATGTCAGGAGTATTGGGTTTATCAGAAGAGTAGGTTCAGATTTTTGTCTTTGAAAGGTAGTGTGAATATCAGAGATCAAGAGCCAGATGGCCAGCTTTTTTGACTGAGAGAGAAGTGGAGATGAAAAGAGCAATCAAAGGAATGAGGAGCAGGGGGGAAAATACTGTGTTAATTTAATTAAAAATTCAACAGAGACATTCTGGCTGTTAAGCAGGATAAAGCGTAGCAAGAATGATGGAGGGAAAGTCACAACTGTCTGTAGTTTTATAGAAGAAACAGTTTCATTTACTGAGACTCCCCTTCAGACACATACACTCCTACATCTTTTAAATTTTGGTTTCATTTTGTGATTCTGCTAGTGATAGCAAAAACAACCACCATTACTGCTACTTATATGTGCCAGAGGCACTGTAGTAGAACATATTTTGTTTCAGTTCATGAACATATTTTGTTTCAGTTCATCTCAGCAACTATTTGCATTTTTTAGGTGAAAAAGCACAAGTGCACAGATCATTAAGTAACTTCTTCAGTAGTAAGTAAATAGTAAGAGAAGTGGCACAAAACAATCAGAAATCTGCATTTAAAAAGTTCTTTATTTTGCATGAGTCATGGCAATACAAAGTGTGAGGATTTCTGATAGGATTCAGAAATGAGCCTGTTAATATCAGATGTGTTTTACCTAGCAATTACCTAATAATAATAATGATAATATATACATTTTAATGCATTTGCTGTTTTTTATAAAAGCACCTCTTTGACTCTCATAGCTAGCATATGGGTTATACTGGGATGTGTTAAAGAGTTAGCCCCCCACGTTGGGAGGCTGAGGCGGGTGGATCACGAGGTCAGGAGATCAAGACCATCCTGGTCAACATGGTGAAACCCCATCTCTACTAAAAATACAAAAAAAATTAGCTGGGCATGGTGGCACATGCCTGTAATCCCAGCTACTCAGGAGGCTGAGGCAGGAGAATTGCCTGAACCCAGGGGGCGGAGGTTGCGGTGAGCCG